GGCATCGCAACTGACGGCCATCAATAAATGCTGACTATCACAATCGATTATTAAATCCGCTAGAGTCCTCAAAATAGAAAATGTATTACCAATACAAAATGATCCAAATATTTAGCTCAAGACTTCGTAACGACAGCTATATGCTCCTCTATGGCATATTTCTTTCTACCGGCAATTGTAGGTACCAAAATTTTAAGGTTTTGCTATCGAACACTATATATACAGTATCTTAAACAAATAGATTCGAGCAGTACGCCTGATTATAGTTCTTAGAGTAAAAACTTGCCATGATCTATAGCATTTATTGATTTAAATATTTAGATGTCATTAAGTGCAGCATTCACAACTGCCAAGGCTCCTCGGGAAAAATTTTATATCTTTGCTAACCCACGTTTAAATTTTAATACTCATAACGAATAGAATGGAAGGTATTATGCTAGGTCTTTGTTATGGATTCGATAAACGTTTCATCGTTTGGATCATTCAAAAAATGATTACCAGCAATGACTTGTAAAGCTCTCTGAACAAATTTAACCTAAATCAACATCAAGTGACGACCAAAATTCTGCTGTTAGCGAAGAAATTATAGAAATATCCGACCATGCACATTTGTTACTAAGTCAAATTCATTTGAAATTTGAATAGACAATCAAACGCCCTTTCTTTAGATTAGACAATTGCTTTAGTGGCACTTCTATAGTAATCTATATAATGCCTTGTAAAATAATGAAGAAGAAAAGATGGCACCATGATGATTCGGCAGGGTAAAACTTAAAGACACTATCACTTTGTAGATATTTTGTATTGTAGTAAGGACTAAAAAGTGGAGTTTTTTGTAGCTTTTAGTATGTAACTAGTATTTTTTACTATAGAAAATACCTAGAAAGTGATAAACTCTTTAAGTTTTACCCTGCCAAATCATCATGTCGCCGTCTTTTCTTCTTCATTACTTTACAAGGTATTATATAGATTACTATACAAGTCGCCCGAGAGCAATTGCCTAACCTAAAGAAAGGGCGTTTCATCGTCTATTCAAATTGTAACGGAATTTGACTTAGTAGCAAAACTTTATCCTTAGAGAAAGAGGATTTATAACATGACGATAAAGTGCTGTAATGTAGTCTATAATCGTACAATTACAGTAAAATCTGACGCTAAAACATCAACTATCAATACGCAGCGATACTAATGTCAGAAAAGTAGTCGTAATAGTCACATAAAATATTTTGATTAGCGAAATAGCGATTACAGTAATCTTTATAAATCCGGATTTTTTCGGATTCGGATTCCGGAACCGGTCGGATTTATGTCCGATATAATTTTCCTGTTTTAATTTATATGTCTGATATAATTTTTCTGTTGTAAGTTTTGGAATTTTTTTTTATGAAAAAAATCATAAGAGTTGATTTTAAAATTTGCACTTTCTGCAATGAATTTGAAACTTTGGAATTTTATGACGTGACTTGAAG